CCTACAGACAATGGTCTTATTCAACAAAATCTGCCTACAAGAAAATCTGTCACCAAAGTACACCAATATATACATGAATAAACATATGCTATTAAAGATATATGGATAAATACTTTTGTAATGTATTCTGCATGTTTTTTTTTTTGTTGTTGTTGTTTTTTACATTATCTTTCACTGACTCAAACATTCCATTTTTAGATTATGTGGGCTTCATCAAAGGAATCATGAAACTAATGCAACTGAAATATTGCAATATAAAGAAGATTGAAGTGGAAATAAGACAGATTGAAGAGATGCAAGAGCCTCCTACCAGGCCAAGTAAGTATATTACTACTGTATTTACAAGTATTGTGGAAAAGTCAACCTTAGCCTTTTAAAGAGCTATTAAAGGGATGAAAATTAATATTGTACTTGCTTTGACTGACTTTTGAATTATATTTTCTATTAGATAAATTGATAAGTTATTAATAACTATGTTTGAAATATGTACTCTCTGTTAGACTGCTATATTTTTATTTATGTATAACATATATCGACATAAGCAGAAAATAAGACTGAGCCCCTACTCACACTGGAACTCCCAAGAAGTTGGCAACTCAAGCATCTGTCTATGTTACCTTTTTTTAACACTGGGCCTGACTATATATAAGCTATTTAGTAAGTCATGACAATTATTATACATTGACTGTCATAAAGAGGTGTTGAATTAAATTATATTGGTGATGAAAACCATTTGGTCATCATTAAATGATTGGTGGGCTCAACCTGAAAAAAAAACATCTGTTACCCATGTCTCATTGACTTATAACTATATCATAATAACCTAACATTGAGATACTTTAAACAAAGTTTGATGCCTGTTATCATTGCAGTGAATAATGAATCACTTAATTTCAATCTGAGCAAGCTACCTACTTGAATAAAAACTGAAAATTAACCCAAATAATGATTATAGCTAATTAAATATACTATTCTTACATTTTTACTTATGAAGACTAGAATGTATTGTTTCATCAATTGGGTTCCCCTGCTAGCTGTTAGTGATATTTTTGTCTGTAAATACAATAATATCTTGCAAAGTGTGGCCAGCTCAGAAGATTTAAGTAAGTCCAAATCAATATAGGCAAGGCCAGGTAGTTAGGGCGCTCGACTCGTAATCTGAGGGTTGCGGGTTCGAATCCCCATACCACCAAACATGCTCGCCCTTTCAGCCATGGGGGCATTATAATATGACGGTCAATCCAACTTTTCGTTGGTAAAAGAGTAGCCCGAGAGCTGGCTGTGTGTGGTGATGACTAGCTGCCTTCCCTCTAGTCTTACACTGCTAAATTAGGCCTTCGTGTAGCTTTGCGCGAAATTCAAAATAAACAAACAAAATCAATATACCGAGCTTACAATGCAAAGTAAAAATAGATATGTTACACGTGATAACTAATATTGTTAATGAAAGAAAGATTAAAGTGATAATAAAAAAATCAATATTTATGTCACTTAAACTTGTTGTTTGCTTCATGGACTATCATAGATTTAATGTTCTTTTTGGTTGTGTGGTTGTTGTTAAGCACAAAGCTACACAATGGACTGTCTCAGTCTATCTGTGTTCGGTTCACCACAGGTATCAAAACCTAATTTTTAGCATCATTAGTCTGCAGACTTACCACTGAGCCACTGGGAGGCACTTTAATGGGAAAATACACAGATTATTGAATGGATCATGAACCTTCATGAAAGTAAACGTTCAATTATGATATCTAATTATTGCAGTGATGTAGTCAGAGAAATGTAATGTTTTGTGTTATTCAGATATCCAGCAGAAAAGTCTTAAAGATTACACAAAATGAAGGTTTGAGACTGCTAAGCAAATAATAAATTGAAGAAGTACATTAGAGGAAAACAAGTAAACACAAGTGTAGAATTCCTTATTTAACAAACACAATGCTAGGTTAACAAAACTGACCAAGTTTCATCTGTACTGTCTGCTGCAGTCAAGCAAATCAAGAGCACAGGAAGAGATCAAAAGATAGAAGTATGGAAATACCGAGCTTAAGTACCCTGGCCAAACAAAGAAACTTGGGTATTACTACTGACTGGTCATTATGGATGGCCGTGTATGAAACTTGGAGTTCCTTACCAGGCCACTCAGCTCATGTATCACGTAAAGTACTGTTCTGATTGAAAATACTAAATACCTTTTCGACACAATTATCACTTAATCCTGTACGCTAATTGACTAAACAAGTGAGAAGTTAAAACTGTAATGACTTGAAGTCACAAATTTCACCTTTCCATAACTAGTATACAATATGTTTTTATTCACGTATAATCATGTAATACTTTTTTTCTACATTCCCAGGCAACTTCTGCATGTAGCTATGACATTCTCATTGACCAATGTATGTATTTCTGTATGGAATTCACACAGGCAATACAGAATCCTGTATAAGTGAGTTTGTTTAAAACTGTATGTGAGCCACTGGTTGAAGTATGTAATCCATATACCTGAGGGTTAAAAAAAAATACTTTTGTTGATGAGTGCTAGAGGGAAGGCATTTTTAATCAAATATTTTTTAATATTGATAAGTTCATCATGAAAATAACCATAAGAGCTGGTAAGTTTATATGCTCTATGAAGTAAAATACTTATTAAACAGATATGCAATTTTTTCCTGTTTAAAAACAAAATACCTACTTCAAAAAAAAAAATCACAGGTACTATACAAATATTTGTGTCCTTGCTGCAGACAAGTCTATATTGGGTCAACCAATCGAACCTTAGCTACCAGAATCAAGGAGCATGTGCATAACAGACTTTCAATAACCCTGGAATTTACAACCAACTAAGCAAAGACTGTAATGAAAAATCGAACAGTGAACACTTCATAATAATAGACTCGGCAAAAGATGAATGGATGCTAAGAAAAAAGGAAGCACTCCTAATTCATAACCTACAACCTAAGCTAAACAATCAACTAGCTATGTCACTACATCTCAAACTATGATCAATTCATGGTGCCCGAGACAGGCAAAAAGTGAAAACTTTATCCAATAAACAAATTATCTACTGAAATGGTAAAAAACTCTTACAAATTGTTATAACATTTCAATCTTGTGATTTATGAACATTTCTCTACTCCTTAATGAAATGAATGAATTAAACTTGAAGACAAAAACTAAAATGCGCCAAATGTTACAGAAAAAGAAATATCTAACATTTCTGAAACATGTTTCATCATCAAAGTGAAAATTTGATAATTCTTCAGTGACTGATTTAGAACTTGAGGCTAATTTTTTGCCCAAAACACAGAATTATTATCATTCAATTCTACATTCATAATTCAAGTGATTTGGGAAGCAAAGAATGAATTTTACCTGTAGCTTCTTACTACAGTGGCCAAGTAGTCTCAAATTTAAACTAAAAACTCTTAAGATGTTACACAGTTTTGCCACAGCAACCAAGAAAATTGTTAAAGTTTATCTGTTTTAAAATGGAAACCAGATTAATGTTCGACTGTCACAAATACTTCTGTATATAATCAACTACAACTACTGTACTAAATTTTGTTGAAAAAATAATGTATATGTTTAAGATACACACCTGAAGTTCATATAAAGTTGTGTAAGTGTGCTTAAAAAGCATTAAATTATCTCAAAAACTGGTTAAAAGTAACGTTCTTAAATTTTAAATATTCAACTGTATGTAGACTTGAAAAACAATGTGTAGGCACAATGATATTTGGTGTTGTATATTTACTTTTAAAAATTTATATTTATCACATATTTATAAAACAAAAATATACACACTTAAAGAAATTATTGTTTTATCAGATGCACGGCAAACAGAGAACCACAGTATTATTCAAATAATTAGACTTAAGATGTTTAGTAGTGTTTAGTTTCAAAAACTTATACAAAAGGCATTTAGCTTTATATATATGTGTGCTTTTTCTTTTAATTTTACCCAAGCCAAAAAACAAAACAGCAACATTGGTGTTAGTGTCTTATTAAGCTTACTACGCTGGACAAACCAAAATAATACCAATACAAAATATGAAGTATGCTTAATGAAATCTCACAGAACATAAAGTTGTTAATTAAATCAACAAATTTGAGGAGGAAGAAGTCTGTGGTTTGTTAAACTTATATTAAGCCAATAATGTTCATGCATCTATGCAAACGTAAATTTTGTGGCAGAATTCATGTTAAGCATGCTAATTAAATACTGGAGTGGCAGATTAAGCAACAAAAACTTCAAAGTAAACAAATTAATGAAACCTTCATAACTGGAGGAAGAGTGGCTGGTTGTTCCAGAGATACTTTCCGATTCTTCTGGTGCGATATTCTGAGAACCAATAGTCAGCAATATGCCATTGGGAAGAGCTAACAAATAGGTTACAATGGATTTTTCTTTTATATTTTTGGGAGTTTATGTAATACAGAATAATATTTTTGGAAAATATGCTGAATAACTTTCCTTTATTCACACATCATAACTTATTTCACCAGTAATTTCCTAGAAGAATAACAATTTATAGCATGATTATCACTAGCTACCATACCAAATCAAAGAGAAAGATTAACAGTTTACAGTATTCGTGTGGAATCCAATGAGTAACAGTTAAAACCTAGCAACAGCAAGTCACTCAGGAAAAATCTGACATAATGACTAGTATTTAATAATCAAAGAATCTGGACCAAATGACTTGTGTATTTACTCACTTCCAAAGAGTCTATCAAACATTTGTCTATCAGAAAAACTACAAACTATATCATCTTTCTTACAGCTAATTCTTAAGAATGTAAGAACAATTTGCATAAGGACACAACAATCTAGATTTTCTATTTAATCAATTTGTTTTTAACAAAGCTGTTAACCAATGCAGAAAACTTTGAAGTAAATAGAAAGATATTTTCACAGAAGACTCAAGTAGGTAAAAGCCACTTTTCACAATCCCTCAAATAAGGGAAATTATATCGATCAATGATAATTCTAAGAAGGACACTGAACATTTCCATACCATACAAAAAAAAAACAGAAACAGTCATGATGCTTCTTTAAAAGTTAAACAAATGCTAATCTAAACTAGCTTATGTGAGGATATATTCCCATCACCTATCTGTGTAACTATTTTGTAAATCCTTTCTTGTATTCAAAAAATATCTTGAAACACCATTTCCTCAATAAATGATACAAGCATTAATTGTTATCTAAATGTAACATTGCCAGGACAAATTAAATAAAGTGTTTTCATTCTTTTCCAAACTAACTGAGCATAGCCTAGCGGTTAGGGGGCTAACCTCACATTTGGTCAAGAGTAGCTGTTTATGATTTTACTTTTTAGTTTGATGCCATGGGAACCAGTGAAAGGTAACACCAAGGTGATTAGACATTTAGGAACATTGTGGTCAGGAAATTTGGGATTGTAAACCTTATTGATATAGGATTCTGCAATCATCTTATCCCCAAGTCAGCCTAAGAGGTATCTTCAAACTGAACAAATGGATAGCAATTTTTTCCCGTTTAAAGACAAAATACCTCCTTCATAAAAATATTTGTGTCCTTGCTGCAGGCAAGTCTATATTGGGTCAATGACTCGAACCTTAGCTACTAGAATCAATGAGCATGCACACAACAGCCCTTTCAATAACTCTGGAATTTACAACCACCTAAGCAAAGACTGTAGTGAAAAACCAAACAGTGAACATTTCAGAATTATAGACTCAGCAAAAAATGAATGGTCGCTAAGAAAAAAGGAAGCACTTTTAATTCATAACTTACAACCTAAACTGAACAATCAACAAGTTACTGCATGTATCTACACAAGATGTGGCAAGCTTTTAATCAAACATACAAGTCTGTTATATACTGAAGATCAGATGCATTACAAACGTATTTGTACTCAAGAAATGTTTGTGAATTTCCAACATCACTCTGACTCACACTGACAAGTCAGAGTGCAAGGGGATGTTCATATGAAGGATAAAAATACTTTTGTCCATCATATTATTTGCATATTGCATTTGTATAACCTCTAGAGCCTCTGAAATTCATATTATTTACAGATTTTTTTAATACCCCTTCATACATTATATGATATTTAGATTTCTCTACCATGAACTGTCACTATATCAGCAATGTAGGGTAAAATGAATAGTTGGTAACTCTGGCATAAAATACATAACAACATGTTGAATGGCAGTCTATAATAAGTCATGACATTTGCACTTAGACTCCCATCTGTGCATAAAGTATTAATGTTTGAAAACACCTTTTATACATACAGCTTTTTTTTTAGTCTTCTATTTTGATTGATTTAGATATTTACATTTTCAAACAAGTAAAGAAGTAATTTGGTCCTATCACTACATGAAACAAACAAAACATAAAGATGTGACACATTGGTCTTAAGAAACTAAACTAATGATTGCCAATTTATTTGTCTCTTGTGACGCAATAGCACGTCTAACGATTTATAACATGAAAAACTGAGTTTGATAACTGTGGTGGGCATAACACAGATAGCCCATTGTGCAGCTGTATGCTTAACAACAAAGAAACAAGTCACTGTATTATAGTAGAATAGCTTCCTTATTTACAAACAGGAAAACTGAATGAAAAATAAAAATATTGACAAAAAGGATTTCATTTAATGATTTATTTGCAAATGTGCCTTTAAATTTAGTTAAGGTCTTTTTTTCTACTATCTTGCTTTATGGAAGTAATAACATGTAAAAAATATGACTATAACATACTCAATGTGCTTTTTCAGTTCCTCAGGTAACCCTCTCTTGATTTCTGGAGATTTTGATCTTGATCTATGTCTGTAAAAAGAGAAAAAAAATACAACTAAGTTATATAAAATGGTGCTTATAATTATTTAATTATAGCATTTCTTGTTTACAAAAGCACATACATCTTTTTTAAGTCCTAAATAGTGTCTTCATGTATTAAGTGTATTGTTGCGTCATCGCGATCACGTGACTATTCTCACGCCCTCTACTTTCTAGAACTATCCTGTACTTTGGCGAATGCTCTAGCATTTACTAGATATAGAGTAGTCTGGTATATAAAAGAGGGTGACAACGTGACGGTAATGTAATGTGTGTGTAGATAGTGAGTAATTGAACTGCAGTCAGAAGTATTGTTGACGTTCGTTGATATAGCATTTGTTATAGAGCGATTGTTGAAAATAAGTGTATCGTAAAGTTGTATTCGGAAAGAATAAACCAGTTTTATTAAGTAAGGACTTGTGTTGCTAAAGTTTCGTCGGAACTAAGTTACGGAAAGTCAATTAACAAACGGAGACGTAACAGTATGTTATGTCCACAGGAAACTCTCAACAAAATGAAATTTTCATTAACTATGTTTGGTTAGTAACCTTACAAAACAAAATATCATTTCATATTGTATTTAATTAATAGCTAATAATATTTTTACAAAAGAAACAAATAAAAGAAGCATTTTTTATATTTTAAATGATTTGAGGCAAAAACAAAATTATTTTAATCAGAATATCATAGTTTGATGAAGTAATTGTTACTTCATAGCTAATAAGCTTATGCAAATGGTAGTTCAACATTTTGTTTTGGATTGATACTGTAGGCTTACAAATATGGCTTTGTTCTAATTAAAATCATACCACAAAATGTATTTCTTGAATACTCTATGTATGCTCCAATAGAAATTTGACTTGCTTTAGAAATTAAGAAAACACTAACACACATTGTTTGTAACAAAGTAATTCCTAATTATTCAGGAGTAAATAAATCTTACAGTCACAGCAATACAGCTAACAGTGTTAGATAGTCATTCATTTGAATATATTAGTTTTTAAAGTTTTGCACACATTTTTAGTGCATAATTACCAATTCATAAAACATTTTCATGGTTTTCTGTTTCAGTTGAATTATGGGTATCTATTCTTCAAAATAAAAACCTTCTTTGATGTTTTCCAAAAAATAGGAGAATATGATTCTTGTGACATTATAGTTACCTTCTATGCTTTTTCTTATGTTGAAAGGTTGCTTCAGATTCTGTCTCCATTCCTGAGTTGTGGTACCTGAAATTAGTAGAATCCTTGTGAGCCTGTAGTTGATTGGTTAAAACATAAATTTTTTTAGTTATGTTTGAAACAGTTCATTAAACAAAAAAAATTATCTTTCTCTAAATGAGCATAAAGAAAAATAGTTTCTAAAACATTAAATTTTTTTTCATTAGCTTAATTATTTTCTTACTGATGGGGTCCTTTGGATGATTCATAAGTTAAATCATCTTAAAACAAACAAAACATATTCATCTATAAAGTTTCTTTGAAAGATAGTTTAAGGCACTATTAAACAAATATGATCTTGTGGTACTCCTGGTTTTGATGAACAGGTAATCCCCCCCCTCCCTGCATAATGAGAAGCTCAAACACTTGGTTGGATGGAATAAAAAGACCTGCAAAAAATACAGTACGTTAAAGCAAGTCTTACTCCCCAGAAAACAGAAACTAATCTCTTGCTGAACACACCTCACTGCTCTCACAATTCACATTAACTTTGTAGCTGACCAATAACATAACTTGATTACAAGAATCTGGAAGTATGTCTGCTCCATGTGAATATTGTAAAGTTGTAATCCAAGACACTGCATAATGAAACAGGAGATCGTTTCCATAAATGAACCCGATTATGGAAAGTAATGCCTAAGAATGAATTTAACATGTTACTTCGACTAGAATTAGTGGGTTTAAAACTAGACCTTTAATGTTAAAGAACTCTAAGTACGACATATGCATTACCAGAGAGTGCATATAATCACATTTGTACTGTAATGGGGTCTTATGCAACTTCCATGGTTTATAGATGAGATAGTTAATAAACATAAATTAGAATTTGATATTAAGCATTAAATTTATACTGATTTCAACTATTTTGTAAAAACTGTAATTTTTCTACATTTAACTTGACACCATATTTAGTAACACTCAATATAGAGAGCTGTTATTGAAGTCAGATAGCATTTAAAAATAATTTAGATGATGATGATAAATTATTTGTTCTCATAACAAATAAATATTAATAAATTTTAACTTCTACCGACAGCATTATCTCATAAAAATACTGGTCTTACTCTTAATATTTTGAAAAATTATAAATTTACTGAAATACTTTTAAAGAAAATTATTAAAACTTAAGTGGATATTCCTGGGAACACTGTCTTGAGCCAAGGGCCTGAAAAAGCTGTGTTGTTTTAAACTGAAAGTATACTTAAATGCTCTAAATCTAAAAATCCATCTTAAGAAGCATAAAATTCATATAAGTAGCTACAAAGAAAAACAATTTGAAAACAATTAATCTTCTTAACATGTAATCAAAGAAAAATAAATCTTTACCTTCTTGGTATGGGATAGAAAATAATGTTTATAGTCATATTGTTTTACTTGCATGTATTTAGCTGGAAGCTTTTGTGCTTGGCAATAAAGTTATTTCATAGTGCTGTATTATCATATAAATATTACAGTACTGAGTTTGATACTTCTTTGTGATATTTATATCTATAATATCTATACACTCACTCAAAATTTAAAAGGAATAAATGAAATGAAACACACTTACCCACTCTTTCTGCTTGACAGTTCTCTGACAACAGCATTCTGTGGCCTAAGTATTATTAGGAAAAACAAATTATTTAAACTATCGACTTTCTAAGAAAGATACATGTGATTCAAGAAAGCAAGTTCTTAAATGAAACTGGTTTATTCTTTCTAAATACAACTTTGCAATATACTTAATTTCCACAGTCATGCTATAACAAACGCTATAATTAACAATGAACGTCTCACGTGCTCGACTCAACAATACTCTCTCTCTGTCCACAGTTCAATTACATTGTTGCCGTCATGTCTTAACCGTCTTATATATAAAAGAATACCGAAATCTAGTAACCTCCCGAGGATTCACGAACCTTCGAGCATATGATGTGTTACTAGCATCACG